CGTCCCCACTGCCGCCGCGGTCGGCCCCGGGCAGGCCCGGGTCCGGGCTTGGAGCGACGGCGCTCGCGAGCATCCTTTGTTGATCCTCTGGCGTGCAACGGTCGTATGGTAGCGATCGTGTTTAGGAGGGTGGCCTGGACACCCCCCACATGCTGGTGCTCGCGCGCAAACTTTGGCGATTGCAGCGCAGCCCTGGCCCCGAGTGCCCCACCCTGCCCAAGCGTTACCACTATATACCCGCCCCCCCTCCAGGTAACGACTGTTCCTGGAGATATGGAACAAATGCAATCTCAATGCGTCAATGCAGCAGGGAGCCTATGCACATTGACGCGCACCAGGCCTGGTCCCCCGACGTCCTAATTGTTTTCATGACGTCGTACCCCGGAAGTCTGGACCCCTTCCACGGGACCGATTTTTCATCCTGAGTCGTTTTTGACGGTCCCGAGGCCCTGTGAGGGCCCCGAGCTTGCGTCATGATTTCTTCACAGCGCGTGGACCTCCCAGGTCTGACCGTGTGCACTTCCCTGGGACCGGTGCCTCCTCCCAGGCTTTTTTTCTGACGGCCCCGGGGGGGCCCGGTGCGGGACCCCCCGCAGGCGCCGAGAACGGCGGAGAACCTAATTACGGTTGTGGTTCTGCCCCCTTCCACCCCTCCTTCTCCTCCTCCTCCTTCTCCTCCTCCTCCTCATCCGCCTCCTCCTCCTCCTCCTCCTCCTCCTCCTCCTCCTCCTCCTCCTCCTCCTCCTCTTCCTCCTCCTCCTCCTCCTCCTCCTCCTCCTCCTCCTTCTCCTCCTCCTCCTCCTCCTCCTCCTCCTCCTCCTCATCCTCTTCTTGGGCCCCCCCCCCTCCTGGGGGCCTCTGGAGCTCTCCTGGGGGCCTCCTGGGGGTCGGCCTGATGTTCCCATTGTTGGGCCCCCCTGGGGCCCTCCTAGGGCCCTCTCGGGCTACCTCGGGGCGGTCGCGCGAGGAGCTCTGGGGTGCAGTCAGCCCGCGCAGTGAGGATGGGCAACCTTCACAAGGGTACCCCTTGCATCCTTGCCTCCTCGGTCCATTCTTGGCCACTTTCATTGGCCGCGCCCCGCTCGAGAAGCCTTCGACATGGGCGTTTAAGGCCCTTGCATCCTTACTGCGCATCCTTATGATTCAGGCCGACGGTAAGGTTAAGTCGGGCATGTACATCCAAAATAATTTAAGAAAATAGTTTTGGGGCGATGCTTCGACTATGTTTGAGCAGTTTGGGGCTATTTCTTATTTTCGTCCCAAATCCGCATGTAGGAGAACATGCTCGACCTAACGGTAAGAGCACCGCACCTGTCTGGCCGAGGGCCGCTGCAGCCGCAGGGGGGAGCGCGCGCGCATGCCCTTGTGGCAACGACAATTGCAATATACATGTGGCTCGCCCCCCCCTCACCCCCAAACCCAAGTCGAAGTGTCCACAGTCTGTCCCCCGCTCGCTGCCTCGCACCCAACCCCAATCAACTTTGGGTTGGGGGGCGCGGGGGCTAAGGATATTTGTTCGACGCAGTTCGATGTCGCATCATACTGGCGCCATGGGTGCTCCTCTCCCTCCTCCTCCTCCTCCTCCTCGTCCTCCTCCTCGTCCTCCTCCTCCTCCTCGTCCTCCTCCTCCTCCTCCTCCTCCTCCTTCTCCTCCTCCTTCACCCACCGGCGCGCGCGTGCCCGAGAGGAGCTGCCGCCCACCCAGGAGGGCCGAGGCGCCGCCCCGGCGGCCGCGGCGCTGCCGCCGCCCTCGGCGCAGCCGCCGCCCGCGGCGGGGCCGCCGCCCGCGGCGGGGCCGCGGCGGGGCCGCCGCCCGCGGCGGGGCCCCGCGGCGGAGCGGCGGGAGGTGCCTCCAGAGGGGGGGGGGGGGCGGGCCTCCTGCTTCTCTTCGTCTCTCCTCCTCCTCCTCCTCCTCGTCCTCCTCCGCCTCCTCCTCCTCCGCCTCCTCCTCCTCCTCCTCCTCGCAGCTGGCACCTCGGCGTCAACAGGGGGAGCACAACAAAAATCCTTCTCTCTCCTCCTCCCTCCTCCTCCTCCTCCTCCTCCTCCTCCTCCTTCCTCCTCCTCCTCCTCCTCCTCCTCCTCCTCCTCCTCCTCCTCCTCCTCCTCCTCCTCCTCTTTCTCAAGAAGGAAAAAGTACCCATACCTTTACCCTTCGGCCGTTTTCCCCTGTTCGGGCCTCCTGGGAGGCCCTCGCCGCCAGATTCGCCCCGAAGTCCTGATCAGAACGCACCCCGGGAGAGGTCCAGGGGGTGGCGGTATCGCTATCTCTTGATTTCCCCAGGGGGGCGGCGGGCGGGTCTGCCCGGCTCTCCGCCTCCTCTAGGGCCCTCCCTCTCGCCCCCCCCCCCCCTTTCTAGAGACCGTCGGGCTCTGGGCCTCCTAGATGGAGTCGGAGTAGATGGGGTCGGAGGATCGCGCCGCATCGTCGATGCATCGGCGATGCGGCTAGATGCGGAGCCCGATTTACTTCACGTCGACGTCGCCGATGAATCGCCGACGTCGCCAGTGCATGGCTGGTGAATCGCCGATGCATCGGCGATGCGGCGCGATCCTCCGATCCCCATCTACTCGGACCCCATCTAGGAGGCGTTTTACCCTCCTCTTCTTCCTGCGACTAAAGCTGCAGCGCAATATCAGTCTGTCAGGCATGTACGACGGGCGTTGCGGCCCCCTGGAGCAGCGGGCGCCGCACTCCTGACGGGGCCCGAGGAGGGGAGAGCGGGACGACGAGAGGAGGAAAAAGAAATGGCGCCAAGCTCACCACGTAGAGCACGAAGAGCTCCACCACCCCGCCGAAAGCGGGCCCCCCTCCTCTTCCCCCTCCAATTCCTCCTCCTTCTCCTCCACTTCCTCCTCCTCCTCCTCCTCCTCCTCCTCCTCCGCTTCGCCCTCCTCCTCCCCTAAGTCGGGCCTCGACATGGGGATCGAGTTCGGGTGGGGCTGGGACGAGGATAAATCCGTTCCAGGGCGTTCCGGAACGCTGTCAGAGCGTTCCAGAACGCTCTGAGAAGGGCCGCGGCGCCCGATACATCTTTCAGAGCCGCCGGATCTCAGAGGCTCTCGATTCATCTTCAGTCGATTTTGGCCGCGTCCTGGCTTCGTCTCACGAGTCTGCTCGATTTTTTCTGGTAGGGAGAGGAGTCTTGGTATTGCCCAGGCGTGTGCATATTGCTCTCGGCGAGGAGCATCGAGGAGCATATCTTGGCTTCTCTCGCGAGAAAATGCACTAAGTCGGGCCTGTTCCTCGACAGGAGTAGGATTCAAAAATAGCCAAAAATACTCTGGGGACCATGTTTTGGGCACCTACGCGGATTTGTTGAATATGTTGGTGCATTTGGTTTAAAAATGTCGTCCAAAATCCTCCTGTAGGGGGACACGCCCGACCTAAAGATACACGCGCGGAACCGGAACAAATGCACGGGGAATGGGCGGCCGAGCGGTGGTGAGGGCTCCGGCGAGCGCATCCGCAGACGCCCGCAGGCGCACCCGCAGCGGCGCCCTAGGAGAGGCGGCCACGGGCGCCCACCGCGGGTAAGGATCCGGGGGCCGCTCCGAGCGCTGGCCTCAATACCGTGCATATGTATATACATATATATGTATATATGTATATGTATGTATGTATGTATGTATGTATGTATGTATGTATGTATGTATGTATGTATGTATGTATGTGTGTGTATGTATGTATGTATGTATGTATGTATGTATGTATGTATGTATGTATGTATGTATGCATGTATGTATGTATGTATGTATGTATGTATGTATGTGTATATGTATTCGCATACATATGAATATATGATCATTTATACATACATATATATATTAAGTACAAAACATCAGCAACAACATAACACCACAGCAACAATAACAACATCAGCACCAACAGCAGCAACATCAACAGCAGCGACAGCAGCAACGACAACGACAACAAAAACAGCAACAATAACAGCAGCAGCACTAACAACAGCAACAGCAACAGCAACAGCAGCAGCAAGAACAACAGCAGTAGCAACAGCAACAGCAACAGCAGGAGCAGGAGCAGCAGCAACAGCCGCAACAACAAAGCGCGGCCAGCACAAGGAGCGGCCACGGGGCGGCCGCGGGCGCCGCGACGTGCCCACTCGTCAAGAAATAGTCCGGGGGCGATGTTTCCCTGATTTGCTCATCATGCTTAAGTGTGTTTTGGGTTATGTTTCATAATCCGCCTGTAGGGGGACATGCCCGACCTACGGATAGGGGGAGGGGGTAGGCTTTGTGTATCGACCAACAAACAAACGACGCCACCGCACCTACGGCCCTCCATGCTGTGCTACGGCCCATCGGGCGCCGTAGCATGCACCACGCAAAAACCCAAGCTGGAATGCATGGTATATTTTGGAGCCCGTGAGGCCGTAGGTGGCATGGTGTCGTTTGTTTTCTGGTCCATGTTAGAAGCACCCTGCTTCTTAGATGGCGCGGGCTTTGTCTGCAGATGCAAGGCCGGCGCCTTCTAAGAAACAGCCTTATTCTAAGAAGTTTTCCCCCTCCCCTTTATACCCTTGTGCGAGCCGCCAACCCACTCCGCTCTTCGATCCTCGATCTCGCCCCCCACCACTCCAGATGTCTTGGCGTCTCGAAGCGAAAGGACGGAGGTTTTTCATCGTTGTCAGCCTCCCGGGGCCCTTGCGGGGCTTCAGGGCCATCGATCGGGAGGAGAAATTGGTCCCGGGGCGCCGGAAAACATTGTCAGCCTCCCGGGGCCCTTGCGGGGCTTCAGGGCCATCGATCGGGAGGAGAAATTGGTCCCGGGGCGCCGGAAAACATCGAGACGCCGGATGTCTGGGACCCCTCCCCGGCCGCGTCTCCCCCCCCCCCCCCCCCACCACCACCCCTCCACCCATCCCCACCCCTTCCCAACCCCTCCACTTGTTCCCCTCCACCACCCCCCCTCCACCCCGTCCCGACGCCTCCCCCCTCCCCCGGCACCCCCCTCCCCCCCTCCCCGCCTCCGCGCCAGGCGCCCTGCGAGCCCGCGCCGCCTGCTGCGGCCGGGGCGGCGGCCCCCCGACAGGAGGAGGCGCTGCAGCCTGGACTGCTCTGCCCCCGCGTTGGCTCGGAGCCGCCGCCCCGAGTCAGCGGATCGTCCACGCGAGCTCTCCTCGCGGCGAGAAGAATCACGACGGAAGGCTTTTGGCAATCGTCGGCTCCCGGGGCCCGCTCTAGGCCCCCAGGGTCGTTCACAAGCGACTCGGGACGAACAGCGGCCCCGGGAAATGGTCCAGTCTTCCTGGGGGCACGCGTCTCGGAAACATCGCGCCGCGGATCCCTGGGCTAGTTGTGGCGTCTTGGGGGGGGGGCGTTTCCATCCCCCCTCTTCTTCCATCCCTCCTCCCTCCTATTCTGTCCTCTTCCATCCTCCTTCCCCCTCTCTCTTCCCCTCCATCCTCTTCCATTATCCTCCTCCTCCCTCCTCCCTCCTCCTCCGCAGCATGTTTGTCACTAGGCCGTGTTTCCAGGTTGTTTTGCCGCCCTTTCGCCCATGGCCGGCGGCTCGGCGGCGGTGGCGGCGGGTGCGCCCTGGAGGGCTGCGGGACGGCGCGCAACGCACGCCGAGGAGAAACGAGACCTCGAGCGCCCAACTGCTGCCGATCGCAAGGCTCGGCGGGACTGGGCAAGGCTGTGCGCTGATCGTGCAATCGTGAAGTTGAGTGGCGAGCTGCTTCGAAGGCCAGGAGGAAATAGAGGAGGAGGAGGAAAAGGAGGAGGCGGAGGAGAGGAGGAGGAGGAGGAGGAGGAGGAGGAGGAGGAGGAGGAGGAGGAGGAGGGGAGGAGGAGGAGGAGGGAGGAGGAGGAGGAGGAGGAGGAAGAAGGAGGAGGAGGAGGAGGAGGAGGAGGGAAAGAGGAGGAGGAGGAGGAGAAGGAGGAGGAGGAGGAGGAGGAGGAGGAGGAGGAGGTCCGTTTTCACCAGCGTCCAACGCTGTCATCGTCAGGGTCCTGGGGAGTCCCTTAGGCTTCCCTGTTACCACCCCCCCCATTCGTGTTCGACAGTCTGTAGCCACTGTGGCTTGGGGTGGCTCGCGCGAGTCACGACTGCTCTCTCTAGAGGCGTATTGATAAACAAGTTTATCCCTCACATATCCTTTTGTCGTCCCGAGCTCCCTCTGTCCGGCCACAGCGGAGCTACGCGGTGACGGTCGATTCGGCGAGGATGCCGCCTGAAGTTCTGCGCGGCCTTTCGGGAGCCCTGCGACGACATTCGGGTGCGCCCGCACCGGCGCGCCGCCGCAGGAGGACGAGGAGGAAGACTTTACGAGAGAGCTGGGTGTTCAGACAGAGTTGAACAACGACTGGTTACATTCGACATTCAAGCCAGTCAGGAGCACCCTCGACACCGACCAAGGTATCGAGAATATCATCGCCCATATTTGCGTGCTTAACGGAGAGCGCCCCGGCGATCGAGATCGGATTTCACGTTCGTAGGCTTTGTTCGACTACATGATACGACGGGGAGAATGCATCGCCGACTTTGTACTATTACGACGAGACGCCCAATTGTCCGATGCAGAGGCGCGCGGCCTCAGTCTCCCCGACAACGTGAAAGCCAGATATCTAGAAGAAGGTGCCAATCTCAGCGCTCAAAGCAAGATGAAGATGAGGACCTTGGCCACAGGGCGCGTCGATTCAGCGCCCATGCGACGCGCCCTGCTCCAGTAAGATTTCACCGAGAAGTCTGCGCTGCCGTCCGTCCCGATGCCGGTGCCGAAATCCTTCCTGACGGGCAAGCCCTTGTGCTCCGCCGAGGTTGCGGACACCTTCGAGGACGACGACGGCGAGATAGAGCTACCCGAGGAAGAGGCGATGGCATTTTTGACGGCGATCGACGATCAGGACCTGGACGAAAACGAGACCCTGGACGTGTCCGCGGCTGTCCTGGAAGAGAAATTCGAAAAAGAAAAGAGGCGATCCTGGACCGAGTCGAGGAAACTGAAGCTAGCGAAGAAGACCGACCGTGAGTTTTTCGAGCGTCGCAAGACGACGAAGCCAGGGTTCAGGAAGATCGGGGACCGCGATTTCCGCGAGCGCAGCCGCTGTGCCAACTGTGGCGAGAAGGGCCATTGGGTCGACCAGTGCAAGAACCCCTGCGCGTCCTAAAGTGACCGCGTAGCACGGGGAAAGAAGGGCCCCTCGAGGCCCGCGACTTGTTCTACATATGCGTTCATCAACGGAGAAGACGACGACGCCATCAATTCCCTGGCCCGGGATGACGACGACCTGGTCTGCTTGCCCCTCCACGCCGAGGGTTCCTCGGCTACGGGCTGGGAAAAGAAGATCCGGGACATCTTGGGCGGTTCCTTCTACCTCTGGAGCATGGGCGCCCGCGCCCTCGTCGACGCGGCCGCGGCCCAGGCGCTCGTCGGCAGGGGCGAGGCTGAGCAGATGAACGCGGCCCTCGGAGAGCATGGGCATCGCATCTGCTTCGACTGGAGTCCAGTCAAGGGGATCCAAGCCTCAGGGATCGGCGGGCGTGCGACGCCTGTCGGGAGAGCCTGGGTACCGACTGCTCTGGGAGGGTGCGGCGTGGTGGAATTCCTCATTGACGAGGGTCACAAGCCCCCGCTCCTCCCCGCCCGATCGTTGACGGCCTTGAACGCAGTGGCCGACCTCCCGAGGGATCTGATGTCCGTGGCGGTGGCGGGCCAGAGCTCGGAGATCAGGCTCAAGCCCCACCCGTCGGGGCACCGCTCCGTCGACCTGGCGCGGCGCCCCGCGTCCGAGTGCCATCTCGCCCCAGAGATCCAGGAGAAGATGCCGATCGAGCGTCTGCTCCTTGCGGGCCGCCGCCGGAACGAGGGGGCCAGGAGGGTAGATAGGAAGCCGCTTGCCAGCAGTCAGTCCCCCCCCCCTCTCTCGCTCCGAGCCTCGGGCCCCCTGGGCCCCAGCGGCAGCGGGCCCGACCCCTGTCCGGAGTTCTCGGCTCAGACGTCGCCCGACGACAGGGCCACCGGCCACGGAGCTCGCGGCCAGGAGGCTGCGGTCATCGAGGATGTCTTCCAGCGCTGGGAGGCCCAGCGCAGCAAGCCAGCGCCCGGCAAGTCGCCGCGTCGCCCTTGCCGGGACGCCAGGATCATCGAGAAAGTGGGCCTCGATCTGTCTCACCTTCGCGAAGGGGCTTGCAATGCCCTCGAGGCGGGAGCTGCGGGCGCGGCGATGGAGGAGTGAGAGGAGTTGCCCGAGGCCAAGCCCAACCCGGAGCTGGGCGCGACTCTCGAGGAGGAGGCGATGTCCGAGATCGAGGTCCAGTGGATCCTGGACGGCTTCCGCGTGTTGACAGCCCCCCCCCCTCCGTTGGCGGAGGGTGGGCCTCTGGGCGCTGTGGCATATCAGCGTCTGCACTCAGGCTATCCTGGCAGCCGCCGTGATGCCCTCGGCCGTCAAGGGCCGCGAGAGCCCCGAGGACTGCCCGCATTCGACCCATGCGTGGTGGGGGGGCTCGAACCAGCGCGGCAAGTACGTCAAACGCACGACCTGCAGGACTCAGCTGTCCCACGCGCCCTTCGCGCCCGCGGGGCTCGAGGAGCGTCGCACGGCGAAGCTCACGAAGGATTGTTAGAAGGGGGGGGGCACAGTACAAGGACCAGCTCAAGCCGAGGATCCACGCCTGGGAGGGCCCCGTTCCATGGGCCCAACGCTCGCCAGCGGCGCCGCCCCCGAAGAGGCGCTCATACCCGGACCAGGAGCAGTAGATCCCAATGGTGAAGATCGCGGGGGGCTACGCGCCGGTCAAGCCGCCGCCCAATTGCTTCGAGAATATTAGGCCACCGCCCAAGCTGCCCGAGAACCCTGGCGGCGAGAGGCCCATGACCGTAGCAGAGATGCAGAGAGCCCAACACGACATGACTCCGGCGATGGAGACCCAGCGCCGCTCGAACGAGCCCACCTTCCTGAATTTGCGCCAGATGATGGCCGATCAGCGCGCCTAGACGGATACGACTGTGCGCGACATGAGCGCGAGGCCCGCTACGATTCCGGGCGAGGATCTCATCCGCTTTGCCACGCCCACGCAGGCGATGGCCCAGGGCCGGACCCCGGGCGGCATGCTAGAGCCCGTCCGCGAGGCACCCTCAGGCGAGCGAGAGATCTGGCCGCTGGCCTGCAGGAGAAGGTGGCCCAAAGCGGGCTCGCCGAAGGACCTCTCCGCAATCTTTTCGCGAAGGATCTAGGGGCCTACTTGAACCGATTCCATGGGAAAGAAGCCTTCAGGAGGACCTCTCGCGAGGTCCGAGGATTTCTGGGATCCGGCTGGACCCTTCCCTTCCCCCCATCCGAGGTCTGCGCTCGCAGGAGGTGGGGCCCGCTAGGCTGGGCCCCGCGATCGCGCCCGCTGCCGGCGGAGGCGAGCCCGACTCCCCCCCCTTTCCCCCGGGGCCCTGTGGGTCGAAATCAAGGGGCCCAGGGCCCTACCTCTTTTCCGCGGACTCTGGGCGGCTTCTGGGGCCCAGGAAATCTCCCTGGCTGTGTTTCGGGGGCCCTCGGGCCCCTGCTCGACGCGACGTCCCCGCGTGAAAAAGAACGCCCGAAGAGCAGAAGGCGAGGGGAAGAGGAGGAAGCTAGGGGTTCGAGGCCAGAGGAGGAGCAGGGGGAAGGAGGAAGAGGTGGATGTCGTGGAGGAGGACTGGTTCACAGAGGCAGCCTTAGACCGCATCCTGGATCGCGCCCCGCGCCCCCGCCGGGCCCCCCAGACGGCCCGAGTGTCGCGGCCCGCGCCCTAGACGACGCTGGCCTCAGAAAGGGGCGTCGCACTCGACGCCAGCAAGTTCTCGAAGCAGAGAGAAAGAGAGGAGGAGCCATCGCCCTAGAGATCTTTAGCCCCGCTAAGATTACTGCCGAGCTCAGTCGCCGAGGTCGCTCGGTTTCCCCCGCCCTGGACGTCACTCTGGGAACGGATCTCTTGTCGGCCGCGGGCAAGGCCAAGCTCTGGCGACAGATGAGGGACGATCACCCCCTCCTCGTCTCGATGACTCCCACGCGCAAGGCTTTCAGCGCGCCCCGAGCCTCCAACTAGGGGGGGGGGGGTCTTGAGAAGGAGAGGGGGGGGGGGGGGGAGGATAGAGGCCT